TATCATAGAGGGACCTGAAACAGTACAAGATTTTGCAAAAATGGAACTGCAAGAAATTCAAGAGAACATTCGAAGTCGTCGTAACAAAATTTTCTTGCATATGGAAGAGGTTAGAATTAGTGGACAATGATATTTTGAGTAGTAGTACAAACTATTCTCATGAACTGATTATTTTGTTTGATCGTTCAAGTATGTTAATTTCGAGGTATATTTAGATGTGTTCAAAATTTTGATTACTTGATAAAATCGAACCCAACCAAAGCCTTTCAGTCGAGTGGGGTTCATTTTTTAGTTGGCTTGGGTTCAAACCCATTGAAATCCTTTGAGTTGGATTTTTTCATGGTTCTTTTCTTTGGTTGAACCTAAACAATCTGAATTTATTGAACGCAAAAAGTATATATTTTACTTTGGCTGATATTACTTGAGTTTAACGTGTTATTTTACTTTTATAGTTTTAATCCTCCACCAGATTTTGCAATAATCAATGTTAAGTGTTGAACTCTGATGTAGCTAATTCTATGCGACCATTCTTAGACTACCTTTATTTGGCTAAAATTTCAGGCTTCAGCTAGAATATCTAAATTCATTCTGTGGGAGGGTGTGGATAAGTAGGGAAGAGATTATCTGTCAATTGGTCTATTGTTTCCAAGTCCAAGTAGAAGCGGGCTTAGAATTTTGAATGATGTGCTTAATGGAAACAGATTTTAAGGTTCCTTGTTCAGTTTCTCTTGGAATGTTCAGATCCCCAAAACAGATTCTCCTCCTACCCTCAAATACTGACCCCCTCCCTCACAACCTAATACCTATTGTCGAGACTTCCTATTACAAAAATGGGACCCACCTATTACATGCACTCACACACAAAGATAAGTTATAACTAACGCATGCCCCTGTCCTTCCTTCTTCTTTTCGTCTCTTTCTCTTTGGTACACAAAACGTACGGCAGGTGGTGGCTCTTCCATGTTCCCATCAATTCCTTTGGTTAATGGAACCAAAGAATTCTATAATTTCACTGTGGTAGAATTATGATTATGCGTCATTTTCTTTCTGTCCTGTAAGTTCTGTTCTTGGGATCTCAGAGATTTTTCTGTAGAATAATAATGTCTGAATTTCTTAGGATAAAGGATACCTAGTAGAGTTGACAGCTTAAGGTATTACCCAGTTGAATTCTTCCGGGCATAAATTTTATCCAGTTTATTTGAATTGCTTTTCACTTTATTTAGTTAGTATAGTAAGTACTGCAGGAAAAACTACTATGGCAGAAACTTTAACTTTCAATGTTCTCAATTTTCGTTCTAATGCTTGAAATAAAAACATGCTGCTTCCTTTTCCCTTCAATTTTTTTTTTTTTTTTTGAAATGCTTCAATCTTTGTAGGTTCGCAGGCTGAGGATACAACAGAGAATAAAAAATGCTGAACTTGGAATTTCAAAGGAAGAGCAAGAAAACGAACTTCCAAATTTTCCATCATTCATCCCATTCTTACCCCCACTGGTATGTTTTATTCCCCAGCAATTTCTTTCTCCATATTATCATTTTTCTTTTCAATTCTTGATATTTATTCTGCCAATAAGAACTATGTTATCTGCAATTCCTTCGTGGGTCATTATCTGAAGAAATTGTTCTTATCTACTACTTGTTGATCACCATGTAAAAATACTACTTGCAGAGTTCAGCAAACCTGAAGCTGTACTATGTTACGTGTTATTCTCTTATTGCTGGTATTATATTATTTGGAGGCCTATTAGCACCCACGGTAACTTTTTACCATCTATTAAACTCTGTTTCCATCCTTTAGAGCCTCTAAGCCTTTCTAACTGTCCAATTTAACTTGTTCTATATACCACACGTTTGATGTGGTGTCTTCCATGCTAGGGGCAGTGGTAGGCAGTCTTAGTTTTCTTCAATTTAGAATAGAATTTGCTAATGTTTCCCACTTTTTTCTCCTTACATTTAAGCTTGAGCTGAAGTTGGGACTAGGAGGCACATCATATGAAGATTTTATTCGTAGTGTGCATCTTCCAATGCAGTTGAGGTGAGCCTAATAGTCTCTCTGGGTTGGTTTATTTATTCTTGATACAATACAATTAAATATATGCTTAAATTACGTACTTGTTTGTTGTGGCTTATTGACGAGGTAATGGTCAAAAGATAAATACCCTTTCTATAGTTTGTCAAAATATTTTAGGATAACCTGACCACACTAATATATGGTAAATGCGACTTACTGTAAAGGTCAGTTTATTGGTTAAAAGATTTTTGAGATTCAATCGAGAGGTATAAATTTGAAATTATTTAGGTCCACCTGTCAAGGAATCAAGATCATAATATGTTACACTGCTTGTATAGCCGTGGCAGTAGTCTTCAACTTGATATCAATGACAGAGTTTTACACCAGAAAAATGTCAAGTTTAACTGCAATCGTGAATTTCTTAAGATTTGTTATCCTTCCTACAAAGGTAATGAAATTCCAAAAATGGGTGGATATTGTATTAGCTGTCTTTTAAGATATCAAGGACTTTATTTTCACCCTTTTGTCGGGACGTTTGTAAATAACAAACATAATGGAATATTGTGAATAAATGCTCGTGTGGAACATTCTAGTATGTTTATTGTTTCTCACCTCATCAATTCTTAGAAATTTTGGCCTCATGGAGTTGTTTAAATCGAATATAGAACTTACAGCCTAGTGCATTCATGAAAAAAATATGAAACGATGATTCAGAGGTAGGAATTAAAAGCTTTTGGTATTCAAAATTTCTTCTGGTTTATAACAAGACTATATGGGGACGTGACATCCCTCTTGCTGACAGTCTCATGTTGGAAATATGACGCCAATTCACCAAGGCAGCAATTCATTTGTTAATTTATTTTGGGAGAACTTGATTTTCAACGTGTATTTAATGATGATGGATTATCTTTGAACGCAACTTCGGAGATTCAAAGTACTATTTAATATAGGCTTTTCTGATTGTGAGGGAAGGCATGCTCTATTATATTTCAAATTTCAATATATGGAATGCAAACAAGGCATTCCTAAATTTGTTTATTGTTAAGATGGTTGCCTAAAGGTAACTAGGATGCTTATAATGCAAGATCGATGATTAATTTCCTGTATTCGCTTTTGGTTTGGGAATCAATTATGTTTATTGGTTAATTTTGAAGTTTGACGCCATACTAGTATTCTTCCATTATTCTGCTTTTCTTTTACATGTTTCCAACTGAAAAGCCTGTTTTCCATTTGAAAACACTTTCTTTTATCTATCAGACTTGGATAAAGACATTGGATCTCATAATGAGGGTCTATTTATTTGAGACCTATACATAGATAGATAAGTTTCCTTTTAATCTAGCGTTTGATGATTATATACAAGTGAACTGCGAGGAGCATTCTTCAAAATTTGAATATTTAGGTTACAAAAGTTTTTCAACTTTGTAATTAAGATCAATGGCATTAATACTCGAGCACTTTTCATGGAAGTCAAATTTATATGTTTTTTGTTTTTCCTGTGACTGTGCAGTCAGGTTGATCCAATTGTGGCATCTTTCTCTGGAGGAGCAGTGGGGGTGATCTCAGCACTGATGGTTGTTGAAGTAAACAATGTAAAACAGCAGGAGCATAAAAGATGCAAATACTGTCTTGGCACTGGTACGGTTTTGGCACTTGTTTTAGTATTGGAATTTGAGTTCTGAACAATGTTTATAATCGTTTGAATCGAAGTTCCATCTCAATCTTCGGGATGTACATTTATAATTGGACCAGGATATTTGGCTTGTGCTCGGTGTTCAAACACAGGAGCTCTTGTGCTGATCGAGCCAGTATCGACCTTAAATGGTGAAGACCAGCCCTTATCACTGCCAAAGACTGAAAGATGCCAAAATTGTTCAGGGTCTGGAAAGGTATGATTTCTTGAAATACAACTGATATTTCCACCATATTTAAGTTTATTCACAAGTAGCTGAAGTGTTGTAGCAGTTGGGATCACCATGAGCTTTTATGCTTGTTCTATTTTGGTCTTTAAAATGTTCTATTTTCATCTTTGTTTTAGTCCTAAAGTTTGCATAAATTTCTTTTAGGCCTTGCGGCAGTCTAAATACATTTTAAAATACACGTGGTTTAAAGTATTTGTTTAAATGAATAAAACATGGGGTCTATGTTAGGGTTCTCTTAAATGATTTTAAGAAACAAATCATGGCAAGAACTAAATTACTTCTTTTTTATAAAGTTAGAAGACTAATAGAATATTCGCTAAAATGAAATAAACATTGAAATTTAAACCAATTAATAAGAGAAATCTTTCTTTTCCGATGGCAAAAGCATCTGTCAATGTCTCTGAAATGCATCTATTGAAACATTCATAAACTTCATACTATCTAAATCGGGAAGGCAGGTGGTAACCTGTTGTCTTGTAGTTGTGGGAAATTTATTGTTTTTGATCCAAAAGCTTCATGAGGAGGACTTGGGACTTTCCACCTTTTTATTTATATCAATGAACCAAGCTTCACAAAGGGAAAGGGGGGGCAAAGCTAGCGTTTTAACTCGGAATTTCATTTTGCAGGTTATGTGCCCAACATGTCTTTGCACTGGTATGGCAATGGCAAGTGAACACGACCCACGAATCGACCCTTTTGATTAGACCCGCTTAATCGAATTTGTATGTATATATATATATATTTATATATATTAGAACTTTGTATACAGAGGACTTCGGTCCTTTGAAGAGAGGAAAATGTTAGTCCTTATCTTGTCCAATATCAAATATAACTATCCCCATCTCTAATTCATGTTGGTTTGAAATTTGATGAGAATGTTATGACTCTTTCTAACTTCTAATTGCACGTTATCGCTTTATTAAATCTAATGTGAGGCCAGTAATTGAACTCCATGCAGGAATCTCAAGTCTCACTCTCTTTCTACTATGATTACTTTTTTAAGTTTTGGAAAGAAAATGAAATTTACTAGAACGGAGAGTGGAGTGATTTGGATTGGGATGCAACAAAACGGGCAAGTTGGGTATAAATACCTACTAAAAGTTTACATTTCTAATATTAAATTTGTATTGTATTCTAATCAGATTGATGTTCTAATTGAACAAGGCGAGATAGATGCTTTAACATTCAAAAAGTATCAACTTATGGAAGATACCATTTCAATGATATTACTGTGTGAAATTAATTAGAAAATTGAAATGCATGGAAAGAAATGAACTAAAATAATAAGAAAGCATCTCTTTCTTCCTTTTGTTTTGTCATTTTCTCCCTCTACAAAGGTGAGGACAAAATTGTGAGTTAGAGGCTTCAATTTCCAAAAAGAAAAAGAAAATCCTTTCACAAAGTTCAAAGAAACCTTAGAGAACATGGGAGGCATAACTCAAATGAAGTTATAGCCTCAATGAAGACTTAGAGCTGAAAATGTCTAAAAATACATGCACTGCAGATGGTGGTCCCTGTCACAATGCTTATCTATGAGAAAGGTGGGTGTCATTCTCCCTTGCGACCTTCTAAAATGGGATGAGAGTCATATTTTTTATAATAAATGAAGCTTCCATTGAGAAAAGATGAAAGAGAACAAATACAGAGGGCAAAGAAGATCAAAGACAAGGAGAAAAAAGAAAAAGACAGCTCACAGATGAGAAGGGACACAAATTCAAAAAAATAAGACCTAAAAAGTAAGAACAAAACTCCTTATAAATCGACGCCCAAAGCCCAAATAGAGGCATTAAACCTAACAAGGGGCTTTAAGGAGGTGAGAGTCATCGAAATAAGGGACTTAAAACATGTAGCTATAGCTATATGCACTATTAGCTAGGAAGCCAATACTTCCCAATAGATGTTGGTAAAAGTTCTCTGAGAAATTCTTTGCATGTAACATTCTCTTTTTCCTACCACGAGAAGTGGTGTGGGGTATTTTCAAGCACTTTTTAAATAATAATTTCTTCAATGAATCCGAACAAAATATTGGTTAAATGGATTTCAAGATTTGGTAGGAAATGGAGGGGTAGCTACTTTATGTGCATCAAATGCACATTTATTGGTGTTGTACCTAGGCAAAAAAACAAAGCAATTCACACCTTTTAGAAGATTATCTACTCGCAAACTCCCAGTGTTCCCTCCATTTCCTAACATGATTCCGGAGCTCTTTTATATCAATGGTGCCAAGAATGTACACCCTAAAAATCATAGAAACAAAGCTTCACAATTAAATATCATGGAAGACTATAAAAGAGAAACCTCTGCAGAACAGAAAGAAAGTTGTTTTACTTTCTTGGTATGTTAATGAGGTTTTGAAAAGACCCAAATAACTAGAAATAATTTCATGGGTATACCAAGAAAGCAATATAATACTCGTACAAATTTATCATGTTCCTCTTATTCATCTGGAGATTTACATATTTTATACGTTTTTTTACCAATCTTACATTCAATGCCACTGAATTTAGTGGTGAAAATACATCTCTTTGATGGTGCCATGGAGGACCTCTTCATTTTGTCGTCAACTACACGACTCAATAATTTACTAAGGTCACCTAATGCCCAGGCTAAGGATATATGTGGCCTCTCTTCCTACAAAATAGAAGTCCAAAAGGTCATCTTTCTAGTTAAAGATGGAAAGGGACAGAAAATACCAAAGGAACTAACCTTGTAAAATTCAGGAAGATTGTGGAACTTATAAACCTCATTAACAACTTGAATCTGTTTTCTTATCTGCAATCAGTCGAGGGAAAAAAATGATTACTTTTGCTTCTATTGAGCATTTTCAATCCCAATCGTGTAAATGTAAAACTTAGATGAAATCATCATAATTTAATGTCAAAAGATCCCAAAAAAAGATGACCAAACAAACAAGGGTGGCCTTGTTGACAAATTACAAGTATATACAACTTCTTGCAATTTCAAAACATCACATGAGAGAGTGTTAGGAGAATAGCGGCACTATAAGCACTTCAGAAAATTTCTATCACATGATGTAATTGCCAACTCGATCCTATTTTCCAATATTTCATTTGTTGGACAACATGAAAGGGTAAAACTTTTTTTTTTTAATATCTGTGTGTCTGGGCCAGCTTGCGCGCACCTCAACTATTTACGGGCCAACCGCCTGACCCTACTACATTTGGTTGACAAGGAAACATATTTATGTGCATGATGTATGAATATTCGATACTATCGATCCAAAGCTAGTCTAGGCACATTTCAACAAATTCCACAAAACAAAAGTGTAATCTTTCAATCTTTTGACATAGCAAAGCAGAAAAATTTTGAGTTCAAATCATTTGATCTATTTAAAGCTTCTAGTCCAAGTCTATGCATCAGCTTTTTAAATCAATATGAAGACCAAACCCATATGAGATCAGGTAAAGAGTTAACTATAACCTAATTCCTTCTTGGGCTAGTGATATAGAAACTAATATGAGCTTAAATGCATATTTAGGAGAAGCGGAAGTTACAATATTATCAGCCCAAAATTTGAGAATGTTAAAGAGACCTCTACGCTAGAAATGCTAAGACAATGGAAATGGTAAGGTAATCCATCAAATCTCACGCACCTCCATTAGCCCTCCAGCGATAATTTCCATTGACAGGAAGGTCCGAGAGAGGTCATCATTAACAAAAGTCTCCCACTTGCTAAAATCAATCCAATAACTGCTCAAAACCAAAAAGTACTTGAGTAAAAATTAAAAACAAATTGGAAATTCAACAGCCACTAATCAAACTAAATGAAGAATTTCTAGCTTACCGCCTTTGACACTGAAGCTTCTGACGAAGCATTGACACTATTGAGTCAATCTGGTGCACTCGGATTGGCACTGTTCTTGATAAACTTATGTGAAATTCTCTGGCCAAGGCTTGCTCAAGCTTGTGCTCATCTTTGCATAAAGAGGTCAAAGGAACGTCAATATCAACAAGATGGAGAGAGGGCACAAGTGAGGAGACTTTCTTCAAAAACAGGACCACCTCCTTCTTTGATGTAGTTGGTATATAAACTGGGAATATGAAAAACAAAATATGTATAGCCATATGTAGTATTCATTGGAAAGGTCATTGTATTACATACAACAAATGGAAAATCCCAATAAGAGTTGCTTGAGTCCAATTAAATAAGATCGACCACATAGACGAAAATAAAGAACACTAAAAAATCTATTTCCTTTTATGTAGGAAATATCTTTTTCCTCATTTGACTGCACTTCTAAGTGCATGAGTTGGCAGCAGACTAAAAATCAGACAAGAAAGCATGGAAATCAATTGAGGAAAGCAAATATATTAAGCAATCAATATCATTGCACAAATATATTTATTCTATATATATCATTATCAAGTATTAGAATAATAGATAATGTTGAAAAATTCTAGTACATATTAGCAAATTGTCACAGATATTGTCCATTTTTACTAGAGGAAATGTGAAAAACCAAATTTAAATCAACATATATTTACTCAAGGAAAAAGAAACCAGCACAGTAAGAGTAGCCATAAACAAGAGATCGTGGGAGTGAACTTTCCAAAAAAGTAAAGCAGCAGAAGAAAATGATAAGAACAGGGCACCATAACTGTTAGAATCTCCTTAATACTTAATAATGATCAACTAAAGGGAAGCTCCCCATAATCGTAGCTACACTTCCAACTAATAATAAATGATTTCTGAATAAGCAACAAAAGGAGAAAAGCCCCTTTCAGTAAGATTAAACTGGAAAAGTGGAAAAGGTAGGTTTTAAGAATCAAATTTGACGAACTACATAGCTTCACTTATGATGAATGCAACTGAAAAGGGATAAATGGGAAAGACCTGGAATATAGACGTGTAGGGCATAGTTTCCTTCAACATGAGGGAAGCTCCGAAATCTAGTGGGCTGAGCGATTGGTAAGTCATGTAACGCGGCTTAAGAAGAAAATATTGATAGAGTCGATGAGCGAAGTTAGAGAGTAAGAAATGAAAAGGTAAGAAGAGCATAATGTAACTGTAAGGCAGAGAGAAGAGGCATACAGATGGAATTGGGAAAATCGAGAAGCGAGAGAGGCGGCGGTGGCAGAGACGGAGGCGGCGGCGGCGGCGACAAGTCTGACGGTGCAGTTGAGACTATGTCGTCTTCTTCATCCGACGAGCTGCCTCTATACGAGGCCTTCAGAGCATCCATCGTCTCTCTCTCTCTCTCTCTCTCTCTCTCTCTCTCTCTCGGTCTCAGGTTGGTTTAAATATTTGATTAATGGATTTTGACATAAAATATCTCAATTGAATTGGTTTGTTGTTTCAGCCATTGAATCATAATCCATTTGATTTTTTAAAATATTTATAAAATAATACCTAGGTTAACACGGAAGGCTGATGTGGCACTGATATTTATTAATTTTATATTTTTAAAATTATTTGTCATTTTTTCCCATTTTTCTTTAATTTTCTCTCCTGTTCCCCTTCTCTCCCTCTTTCTCCCCTCTTCATCCTTCTCGTAGGTCTCTCTTCCTCTCTCTACAAGTTCTAATAGTTGGGGGGAAAATTGGACGATGAAGCTCAAAACTTCGGTCAAATTATGGGCGAGATGGAAGTTCAGTGAAGCAAGGGAGAGAATTGGGCTTCTGGGTAAGTGGAACTGTGGGTTCGAGAGAAACGGCACTTCGCGGCATTCGGAATTTCAGATGAGGGTTGAAGACGAAGAGGGAGATAATTGAGCTTCTGGGTAAGAGGGTTTTGCATAGGAATAGAACCCACAGGAAATAGTGGGAATTTCAAGCTCTGCATATTGGGGGACGAAATGGATTCGAAAAACGATCTGTGAAAATTTAATGTAACACAAAAGGGCACATACTCCCCACTCGTTGATGGGTCTGATAAGAGAGAAGGGGGAAAATGAGAGAGAATCAAAGACAAAAATAGGAAAAAAATGACAAATAATTTAAAAATATAAAATTAATAAATATCAATACCACATCAGCAGCGTTACGTTAGTTCTAGGAATTTTTTAAAACCATTTTGTAAAGGTAAGAGAGACTAACTTTTTTAGTTTAAAGACCAAATAAAAATTTATCTTCAGATTTAGAGACTAAAAATATTTTTTACCTTCAAATTAAAGTCGCAGCTGTCAAAGTGATGAAATTACATTTTTATTGAAAAAATTATTGGAATTTGAAATATAGTAATAATGGTAACTTATAGAAAAATCAGATTGCAGAAACCAGCTTACACAACCACATAATACATACTTAACACCTCTAAACTAAAAAATTATTCACTCCACTTCACGATTGCATATTACTTTTAACTCTCCAAATTTACTGACCAACCAACTGTACATTTGAGACCATTTTCTTACGTGTTTGTGAGACTTTGAGGAAAATTGGCAGAAGTAAAGCCAATTTTAAAGAGGTTAAAGATTTCGGGAGCACTTTTTAATTTATACAATACTAGACTTTTTGAGGGTGAAAAGACTTTACTGCCCTTAAAAGAAAAACCCTAAAATTTCTCTAAACTCAACACCCACACACCACTTTCTCCTCTCAACTCGCGTCTCTCGGCTGCTTCCTTCGGATTCAAACTCCAGCAAGGGATGGTCTTCGTCTTCTTGATTCTTCACTTGCTTACGTCGTCTTCTTCTTCACTATTCTTCTGTAAGTCGCCGAACAAGAAGCCGTAATTGCCGTTGATTTTGCGATTCGAAGAATACCAGAGGGCAAAAAGGTATTTTCACTTCCCAAAGTGTGTGAACAAAAAATTAAAAAGTTTGTGTTATTTTACAACTTTGTAAAAATTGAGATTATTCTTCAAAAATTCAATTAGAGGAACGGAACCCTTAAAAATACACAAGTAAAAAGTTTTGGAAAAATAGCCCCCCTTTTTTTTCCCGCCAAGACGCTCTGGCAAATAAGCCCCGAGACCATTGGGAGAGAGTAAGAAATGGCGCCTTCCGCTGCACCTGTAGTTGAATCCCCACATCAATCAACAATCGAAAACATCGAAAGCAATTTACAGGTTTGCTTGTTTTCACTTGAAATTTTCTTTCCCATTACAGAAGTTTTATGATCTAAATGAAGGAACTGTTTGCTTCATCTGTTGGCAGCCATTCTATGTTCTTCATAAAGCATCATCTCGGAAAATTTCGAGAAAATCAAACCTGTATGAAAAATCAAGGAAGAGAACTAAGCTCCCTCCATCCAATTCCAATGGAATCGAGAATCCTGAGACTGACGAACGTGATGGGTCTCCACTTGAACACCTGCGGATGGAAGCTCTGGAGCTTGTATGGTCAAAAATGGAAACCACCATTAAGGTTAATCACTTCGATTTCACTTTTCCCCCTCTTGCCTGAGGTTACCATTTGCCTGAAAATGATGATTTTTGTCTTCTAACTGCTTACTCCTATTGTGTCTAAAGGAATCTTTGGGTTTCTCTTGCAGGATGTATTGAGGGATACGAATGTTAAAGTTTTTGAGGACATATGTCGCTGGGCTTATGAGTCATTTTCCACTATTCGATCATCTGGGGCACCTAGTTCGTCTTCAGTGACTCGGCCTTTCCCTATTGTAACTCGTGCTGATTGTAAAATATTGTTCGCAGGGTTGGTTCTCACTAGTACGTTCCTGTTCCGAAGTTTTATATTGATGTGTATGGTCCAGCGTCCAGAACTCTAACTATTTCGTAATTAAAGAACATTTGAGTTAGTTTCACATAACATTATATTGATATGCACGCGAGACTGTTCTGCGCCATGCATTTTTGTATCTTTATGCTGTGTCACACATGATATGTGAAAATATGGGAAAATTCTTCGCACATTTCCTGATGTTTCTCCTGTTGAATAAGGAACCTTGATTTATTGGCAGAGAATATGGAAGTTGTGGATGATTTACTGTCGTTTGAAGAGCTTGGCTTCCATTTAAAATCCCAGGGATGTCATGTGGCAAGTCTTTCTTCTCAAGAACTTTCTGCCAAGAGTAGCATAGGTGGCTGTGTCAGAAGTTTATTGAGACAGTTGTTGAAGGTTACTGTTGATGTAAGTACCACGTTTTTTTAGAGTGCGTATTCCGAATAATGTCAGATTCGTTGATTAACTTTGGGAACTTGTTCTCTCTTTTTTTTTTTTTTTTTTGAATTTGAGCAGGCAGCTGACATGTTCATCCTAGCATCATGGTACAGAGAACAAGGATACTATGATAACCCAATAGTTGTGATTATAGAAGACATTGAACGATGTTGTGGTTCAGTTTTATCTGATTTCATAATTATGTTGAGGTACTTCAAAGAACCATACCTCTTGTTAATTTCCATTTGATTTTTCATTCTTTTTCCCTAATCTTTCTTTGCATTTTCTGTTCTGCGAAAACTTGCAAATGCCACCTAGTGGCTCCTATCTATGTTTGTGAACTACTTGTGTTTTACTATGCATGTTTTATGGGATGGTTTTATGTTCTCTATTTTTCTCCTATGGAAGAAATGTTCTCTATATTTGATTGACAAAAGTATGCATTTTACTTATTTCTTAAAAATGTAAGAAATTTAAAGTGATTTACAATTAACGAAAAGAAAAAATGTTAATGAAATTTTCATATTTTCTTGAAGCATAATAAGTAGTATAAAGTAGTCAAAAGGATAAAACAATAATGTCTTTGGACTACGACTATGAGATTCCTTCATGTCACCTTAACCATGGATATGTGTTTCAGGAAAGAGGCTAGCAAAGACAATCATTTGTTCATCCATTATCAGCCTATGCTACTCTTTGACTATTTGTGGCAATATGTTTGGCACTTTTAGATTTTTCTGGTGGCAATTTGAAAGTTAAAGCTATCTTCTAAAATGACTCTTAACGTGGAAAGGAAAAACCAACAACTTATTTGGACTATTGCCATCTTGCTTTCTTATTGGAAATTTTAGAGGAAAGGAGTAAAACTAGAACCTTAGCAGAAGATACTAACCTGAGAGCTTTTGTCTAATTTCTTTGCCTTTCTCTCTGGAGGTTATCAAACGATGATAAAAGGAGTTATATTGAAAGGGTTAAACTAAAGGATTTTTACAATTATTATAGTGGATTAGGTTAAACTTCATTTTTTATCTTTCTAATTTTTTCCCTGATAGATCCAATTGGAAGTGTTTCATGTAATCCCCTTCATGGACTTTTGTAATTTCATACATCAATGAAATTGTTTCTTTCACACAATTTTTTCCTTGATCGGAAACATATTTTTTTTTAAAAGAAGGAATACAAAGGGCTGAAATTATCTCCATCATTTCACTTGTTTGCAATTTGTGGATGATGGTTACCCTTTTTCAACATGGAGAAACTCAATAATGATATCTATGTTTTGTATCTTGAAGATGGTTTGTCTTAACATTAATTTCCATAAAAGCATGATAGCAGGGTCAATATGACTAATGAAGGCGTTCATCGTGTGGCCAAACTATTTAGTTTAACTGCTGTCTGGTAGTCCCAAGTTACTCGGGAAGGCTTTTAGGAGGGAACCCATGAGTTCGGATCTCCTATGGAAAAGATTGAAAATAAACTGCAGAGGGAAACATACGTCTCTATGGGAGGAAGACAAACTTTGCTATTCTCACTAACATACCCTGATATTCTTTATTATTCTTCAATATTCCTTCAATGCCTATTATCAAGATAGAAGAGATCTGGGAATTTCTTTGGCAGGGTCTGAATTGAGCTATGAACTCACCAAGTTGCTTGGAAGTTTGCATCTCTTCCCAAAGAGAAAGGCAGCTTGGGGGTGCGTAGTGTGAGGGAGAAGAATTTGGCTCTCATTTCAAAATGAAAGCAACACCTATGACATAAAATTATCAGGAGCAAATACGGTTTACTACTCTTGGCTTGGCTGGGCATGAGAAAAACCAAATTTAGTAGCTCCAAGTCTCCTTCGTTTCACATTTCTGAATTCATGAATGACTTCAAACTTCATTACTCTTTTCAAATCGACGATTGTAGTAAAACTAAAATTTTAGGGAGATTATTGAAAAGGAAACGTTGCTGTTAAAGAATTTCTCTCCTTGTCTCACAACAAAATCCTTATTAAGATTTGGAATAATAGGGATCATATTGGACCAAAAATCCATAATAAAATTCATTGTTAGTGGGCTTTAGAATGATGTGATTTCAGTTTAATCATTGATGACATTTGGTCTAATAGCTATTTGCCTATTTGGACTAGGAGTGGAATATTCATAAAGTAGGTTCCTTTTCTTGTAAATCTATGTTTATGTACTACTAGGTTTAACAAAAGGTACTCCAAGACTTTTAGCTAAGTTTTTGTGGAGGTGGAAAAACTGGTATAAGAATTAAGTTCTTTCTTTAGGCTTGCTCTCGTGGAAAGATCAATAACTTCGAATCTAAAATCATTGACCTTGTAACTTCTCCCAAAATTGTGTATCTGTTTTTCTAACAAGGCTGTTTTATCTCAAAAGTATTTAACCATTAAGAGGTGCCCCCGATATCTAAAACATGAAATCCATTTTTTGGAGAGTTCAAATTATGGTGGTGCCATTTTAGGGACATTGGGATTGGCTTCTTTAGATTTGCTGGTCATGGCTTCGAAAGTAGAATTAAAAGGTTCTGTGGACTATGATTGTGGGTGCAACTCTTTGACAGTCTCAAATAAGTGGGAATACCTTTGGACTCTCTTTGATTTGTAACAGGAGAACCTTGATAGGGTCGTTTTCTTGGTCTCTAGATGGGCTGTCTTGAGTGACTCCTGTTTTTCATTTTGTCTTTCTACAACCATACATCTTTCTATGATACAAGCTAGTTGATATTCTCTATTATTTGCAAGTTATCATTTTGGGGATTTATGATTTTTTGTACAACAGTGAATGGGTTATCAAGATTCCAATTATTTTGGTTATGGGAGTTGCTACAACAATTGATGCTCTTGCAAACGTACTTCATTCAAATGCACTACAGCAGTTGTGCCCTTGCAAGTTCATATTAGGATCACCGGCTGAGAGGATGGATGCAGTGGTTGAAGCTGTTCTTGTAAGGCATTCTTGTCTGTTCAGCATTGGTCATCAGGTTGCCGTCTTTCTGAGGAAGTACTTCTTAAATCAGGACGGCACTTTAACATCCTTTATAAGGGCCATGAAGGTTGGTACTTCGATTCATTCAGAACTTAATGAACTGACAATGATTTGTTGTTTGTTACGTGTGGCATTCTCTACCATGTTGTTTTGTATTTTTGACTAGGCTTTTCCTAATGTTTAGTTTGGCAAAGTATTTTTCAGATTGGATGTGTCCAGCACTTCTCCATGGAACCGTTAAGCTTTATGCTTCCCAGATTGCTTGTTGAAGAAGAGAATAAGGTAGTTTTTATTTATTTTCTCTTTCAACTTATTTCACTGTATAATAATTTTATACAATACAATACTTAAAGTGTATTGTTTATTTGGAGAAATTTTATCTTTCTATGAAGTGTGTTGTTTACCTTTATTTTAATTTATATTATTTTTCCAGATTTTATTGCATGTTTTGGTATTTTGGAAATCAATTTTTATGAAATGAGGAAGTTATGATTCTTGCTAAATTATCTGTTATAGGTGTTTTACTTATTTGCTAAGGAGAGTTGTTCAGTTACTAAGTGGTCACAACTCACAAGTTCAAAGGGAAAGTTAAAATTTTTTGTTCGAGTTATCACTTATCAATACTATGGCTTAGAGTTTATTTCTAGAAAGAAATAATTTTAATTGTTAATTGAAAAACAGAAATAGTCTAACAAAGTGATGGATCTAATTAAGTTCTTTTCCCTTTAATGGTGTTACTTTCTAAGGCTTCTCGTAATTATACTGCATTCATAATTCATCCAATTGGGAAGCATCTTTGTAAGATGTAAATAGGGATGAATAGAGTGCAGGTTGTAGCTTTTTTTTTCCTGTTCCTTTCTTTCTTTCTTTCTGGATAAGAGACAATATAATACAGATAACACCAAAAGGAAGAACAACCTAAGCGCGGAGGGTTGACATCACCCTCCCCCTAAAGACTTGACAATAGTAACCTTCCAACTCCTAACAATCTAGTGTAGACTAT